AGAAATGATTTCTAAGCTTCCAGGGTCGATTAGGGTTTGTATGGTTTCGTCCGTGATGCATTTTCGCTTCTAGGGTTTAATTTGCGAATAATCGACGAACTAAGGGCTTTATTATAATAACTCAAAATTTAGGGACCTAATAAGGTTTACAAATGTTAGGGGTCTCACAGGGCGGGTCTGACTCTTTTTTTTTGTTTTTTTAAATTTTTTCTATCAAAATTTTATTATTTTCCTTTAAAAAAGACACTGGGCCTTGGATGGGCTAGGCGAGTCGGGCCTCAAGCTGAGCTTTGAGTGGGCCTTAAGTGGACTGATGAGTCGGGCCAAGCGGGCCGGGCCGGGCCGGGCCGGGCTTTAGAATTATGGCCCAGGGTCTCGAACTGTGCTTGGGCTCGGGCCCAAACAAGCCTAAACGGGCTGGGCTGCCCCAGGCCGTGGGCCAATTTTACACTCCTAGTGTGTGGCAAGAAAAAATTTAACTTTTTTTAGGATAAAATTCATAAAAAGATAAAATTTGCTAAAATAGTTAATAAAACAAAATATCATATCAAACCTATAATCATTTCACATTTTTTTTCACAAACATTACATCTAACTACCAAAAAATTTAATCATCTTCTAAAACACAAAAAATTTAACCTACCAAAATAACAACTTTCCAAACACTCACATATTCTCAAATCTCTCTCTCTCTCTCTCTCTCTCTCTCTCTCTCTCTTCATCTCCATTTCCATCTCCTTTATCTATCGCCGCCAACAGCAACTCTCCACTGCCGCACCGTCGATCTGCCGTGGCTGTACTCGACTCCTTCCCTATCTTCATCTACTCCGAGATCAATGGGCTCAAGATAGGCAAATATCTACTTAAACGAGTTCGAGCACAACGAGACTCTTCAATTACTTCCTCATATCCGCCAAAAGATATCGCCGCCACCGGCACCCCATCGCTGTCACGACCTAAACCCGCCCCTATGGGTTTAACATCGTAACCGGCTAGTAATCCTTGGATTACCAAAGGCCCCTTAACAGAATATCATATAGTTAGGGGCTACGGAAGCAAATATACGAAATATATGTGGTCCAATGAGCTGTGATGACATACATGGGACAGAATTTAAAATTTTATACTCGTATATGTGACGTTGTAAAAGCATCAATCTTACGTCACTTGAGCCATTTATACAAAACTTTCAAACACATGTTTAGTCTAGACATAAACATTAAGAAAGTACAAAAGTTCCAAAACACAAAAGCTTGGGCAGATCTCAAAAAGGAACCTCCGCCGGAGGCACGATAGCTAGCTGACACCAAAACTCCAAGCGGCAGTTTAGGCCTGGTCACGCTCCTGCTCACTTACATACATAATACAACTAGTGAGCGGAAGCCCAGTGAATAATGACGGAGTAAAGGGTTTTAATGAATGATGTCCATACAGATTCAGAAATCATAATTCAGATTCGTAACAGATTCATATCCATATTCTTGTTCCGATCATATACAGAAATCAGTGTTCATGGTTAATCATATGTGGTGCATCCATTAACGCTAACAGAACAGATACAGAACAGACGCAGAGCATATGGTGGTTATGAATAACCAGTTCCATAAAGGAACCTCCGGATTCGGGTAACAGAGAATAAACATGCTGAGCCCATGATGAAGCCTCCGGTACGGATAACAGAGTGCAGACATATTAAGTTCCATAATGGAACCTCCGATACCGGGTAATAGCTAACAGATATCACATGATGCTAAGGATGCCATGAATACATTGTCAAAAATTGGACAATCATTCATTGTACAGAATATAACATTTCAGAAAACATATCTTATTTCATCATACAGAAAATAAATAAAGTTGAACATAGCTTTACTAAGTTATTACTCACAGTTGGCTTCGGGTGCAACAGACAGAGCAGGCTAATCAAACGATCTATGACACGTGACCTACATTAACACATAACAAATACACCTTTGAAACACAAGTTGGAATGCATCTAACCCATTACGTTCTTGTTCTTAGTGTGTCTCTACCATTATTCTTATTATGGTGCCTTGACCATGGCCTAGTAATGCCTAGGATAGAATGAGAATGCAAAAATTGCACTCGAAATCATTTTTCAAAACTTGCTGAAAACAGGGTCTACGCTCGAGCGAACATGCAAAAAGTGAGGGTTCGCTTGAGTGTGACTTCCTTAGCTCAAGCGGACTATAAACTTTTGAAAAAGTTTTGGTTGCTTATTTTTCACGCTTGACAGATGCTCGATCCCCGCTCTAGCGTGAGGCTTAGGCCCTTGCTCGAGCATGACTTCTGTTGATCGAGCGTACTGCAAAACATATAAACTTCTGGATACATGCATTTTACACTCGAGCGGGTAGCATGTCGCTCGAGCGGAAGTGCACACATTCAGAGTGCTTCGTTCAAGCGTGAACTCCTACGCTCGAGCGTAGGTTCAAATTCTGGAATTTCCAAATTTGATCTCCAAGCTTCAAACTCAACCCAAACACTTCAAAATTCATCCTCTTGGGTCAAAATTCTAGAAAACATTTAGATATTCACAAAGCATCATGATTTAAAAATCTTTTCATGAAATCAAGGCCCAAAAGCATGCCAGTTGTTCGCAAACTCAACTTAAACTTCTTGAACTCTCCAAAAACAAGACATGCATGAAATGATTGAGCTTCAAGTTTCCAAATCATGATCAAATGAAACGAGAGGATGGAAAACACGATGAATTCTTACAACTAAGCTCAATTTATGACGTGCACGAGAGAATTCCTAGTAAACATGCTCCAAATGTAATGAAATGTACATGCATGTATGAATTGGTCTTCCTTCCTACTTCTTAAGCTTGGTTCTTACATCTCCTAGCTCAATTCACTTAAATTCAAGGGTGAATTAACTCCACATCAAGGTGGTAAGGTTGAGCTCTTACCTAGGCTACTCAATTAAGCTCCACTTAAGCAAAATCTTGAGCAATTCATTAAATCTCCCAGCAATTCTTCCCTTTGCTTCTTGAGGTAAACTCTCACTCTCTAATTCTCTCTTCCTCTCACATTTGGAGCTTTACGTTGGGAAATAAGAGTGTCAAAAACATGAATTAGAGAAATAGAAGTGGTCTTGTATATGCCCACTTAGTGACACTTAATTAATTGGCCTAAGGTAAGCTAAGTAGCATTAATTATTCTATAATTTAATCGTTCCGAATCGAATTTTAGTTAAATCTACCATAAAATTCTATAAATTCCATATAACACATATACCAAATTAATTTCGTGATCGAATGCCGATAAGGCCTTTGATTCACAAAAGGTAACAGAAATTTCAAATAGATACTCCTACAATAAACAGATAAAACATAAATAATGCACCACATATGCAATTAATTCAAAATCTGACCTTAATAACTTATTAGGCATATTAAATCATGGATTATCGTTAATCTTTGAGTCGGGGTTGTTACAGTCTTCCCCTCTTAAAAGAGTTTGGTCCTCCAAACTCAAATTACCTTCATTTTAGAGGAATACCAGGTCCAAAGGAAACAGTTCAGGATATCTTTTCATCATATCTTCTTCTGTTTCCCATGTTGCATAAATTCCTCCATGATTCTACCAATCGACCTTCACTAACAGGATTTCTTTGTTCCTTAATCTTTTGATCCGACGATTAACAATCTGTATTGGTCTCTCCTCATAGGTGTAGTCATTTTTCAAAAGCACATGTGTTGGCTCAATCGCATGTAGTGGATCCCTCAAATACTCTCAAAGCATAGATACGTGAAAAAAATTATGCATATGCTCCATGATCGGGGACAAGGCTACCCGATACGTTACTGGGTTGATTTTCTCCAGGACCTCATGTGGTCCAACATATCTTGGTGCCAACTTGCCTTTTACTCCGAATCGCGTTTGACCGTTCATCGGAGTTACCATGATGAACACATGATCTCTGACTTCATATTCCCTATCACGCCTCCGAACATCAGCATAACTCTTTTGCAGGCTCTATGCAGTTTTTAGTCTCTGCTGAATTAGCTTTACGTTTTCAATGGTTTTTTGCGCAAGTTTTGGTCCCAACAATGGTCTGTCGCCTACTTCAGCCCAGCAAATTGGAGATCGGCACTTCCTACCATACAAAGCTTCATAAGGAGCCATTTCGATGCTTGAATGGCAACTATTGTTATACACAAACTCATCCAAGGGCAAATAGGCCTCCCAATTTCCTTGGAAATCTAACACACACATTCTGAGCATATCTTCTAATGTTTGATTGGTTCGTTCAGTTTGACCATCTGTCTGTGGGTGATAGGCGTTACTCAACCTCAGTTCTGTCTCCAAAGTCTGTTGCAAACTCTACCAAAATCTTGACACAAACTTTGAATCTCTATCAGATACAATAGATACTAGCACCCCATGCAATCTCATAATCTCATTCATATAAATATTGGCCAATTTGTCAGCATTGTAAATAGATTTAACGGGCAAGAAATGAGCAGACTTAGTTAAATGATCCACAATGACCCAAATAGAATCCATACCTCGGGAAGAGTGAGGCAATACCACAATGAAGTCCATGGTAATGTGCTTCCATTTCCATTCCAGTATTGGAAGCAGCTATAACAAACCAGTGGGTCGTTGATGTTCGACGTTAACTTGTTGACAATGTAAACATCTAGCCACAAAATCTGCAATGCACTTTTTCGTTCCAGGCCATCAAAAATTCTGTCTCAAATCATGATGCATCTTTGTGTTGCCCAGATGCATAGCAAATTTGGTGTTGTGAGCTTCGGTCATAATACGCTTTCTAAAATCAGAGGAATCTGGTACACAAAGTCTATTCTGAAATTTCAACACATTATTCTCAAACACAAACCTCGGCCTCGGCTTTGAGTCAAATTCTTCCACATTCTTTTCCAAGTACGCATCTTCGAGTTGTTTCTGTTTGATTTCTTCAATGATTGCAGGTTGAGTGGAAATGGCAGCTAAAATCCCATATTGCTATCACAAAACAATTTCAATCTCATTCTTTTCCAGGTCATCTAGTAATTCTTTTTGACTGGAAAGCAAACATGACAAATTTCCAATCGACTTTCGGCTCAGGGCGTTAGCTATAGTATTAGCTTTTCCTGGATGATACAAAATTTGCAAATCATAGTCCTTGATCAATTCCAAACATCTCCTTTGTCTCATATTCAATTCTTTCTGAGTGAAGAAATACTTGAGGCTTTTGTGGTCCGTGTGCACTTCACAAGTCGCTCCATACAGATAATGTCACCAAATTTTCAAGGCAAACACTACAACTGCCAGTTCCAGATCATGTGTTAGTTAATTCTTTTCATGTGGATGGAGTTGCCGAGAGGCATAAGCAATTACTTTCTCATTTTGCATTAACACATACCCTAAACCTTTGTAGGAAGCGTCACTGTAAATCTAAAATCCATCAATACTATTGGGCAAAGTTAAAATCGGTGCAGTTACTAGTCTGGTCTTCAACTCATGAAAGGCTAACTCTCGCTATTCATTCCAATCAAAGGATACATTTTTCTGAGTTAACTAGGTCAATGGCATGGCAAGTTTTGCCAAGTCTTTCACGAATCTTCTGTAGTAACCTGCAAGTCCTAGAAAACTTCTAACTTCTATCACATTTGTCGGTTTAGGCCAGTCCACAATGGCTTCAATTTTCTGTGGGTCAACAGAGATACCATCCTTGTTGATTACGTGTCCCAAAAATGTTACACTGCCAAGCCATAATTCACATTTGGACAATTTCGCATATAGTTTCTTTTCTCTTAGAATCTGTAACACAGTTCTTAAGTGATTCTCATGATCTTCCCTGCTTTTAGAGTAAATCAAAATATCATCAATAAATACAACGACGAATTCATCCAGAAATGATTTAAACACTCTATTCATAAGGTCCATAAAGGCAGTAGGTGCATTAGTCACCCCAAACGGCATTATTAAAAACTCATAATGTCCATATCTAGTTCTGAATACAGTTTTCTTTATGTCTTCCGCCTTAACTTTTAACTGGTGATACCCAGATCTAAGGTCAATCTTGGAAAACACTTGAGCTCCCTGAAGTTGATCAAACAAGTCATCTATTCGGGATAGAGAGTATTTGTTCTTGATAATTACTTTGTTCAATTCCCGATAATCTATACATAACCTCAAAAATCCATCTTTCTTCTTAACAAATAGGACTAGAGCACCCCAAGGTGAAGTGCCTGGATGGATGAATTTCTTGTTTAGCAGTTCCTACAGTTGAGTTTTTAATTCTTTCAATTCTAAGGTTGACATTCTATAAAGGGTCTTGGAAATAGGTTGTGTTCCCGGAGTCACTTCAATAGTGAATTCAATCTCTCTATCAACTAAGTCTCTAGGTAAGTCATTCGGAAACACATCAGGAAATTCACAAGCAACAGGGATAGTCTCCACATTAGTACTATCAGATGATTTAGTCAATATACAACACAAGTTGCCCCTACATCCCTTCCTAAGCAATTTAACAGCGTTCATGCCGAAATCAAGTATAGGGGAGGAACTACCCCATTTCCAGTAAAAATAAATTCAGGCATATCCAGTGGTCTAAACACAACAGATTGACTTGCACAATCAATAGTCGCACAATATTTAGTCAACCAGTCCATACCCAAAATACAATCAAAATTATCAATGTTCAAGGGCAACAAGTCAACATACAATGTTATATCACCAATCACAATATCACATGCCGGATAAACATAAGCACATATCATAGAACCCCTAGACGATGTAGATATAGATAACACATATGTCATAAGTTCTAGTGGTCTAGTTAATTTTTGAGACAAAGCATGCAATACGAAGGAATGCGTAGAACCTGAATTATCAGTACACATGCATATTGAGAACATACAGGGAGTATACCTGACACCACAGTTTCAGCGTTCTGTAGGTCACCAGGCACTAAGGCAAACACTCGACCTTGTCTCAGAGGTTCTTTCTCAGCATTAGCTTTTGCATTTGTTTTGACTATAGAAGCAGACGCACCTAAACTCACCATAGGATGGCTGGCATTCTCAAACCCAAGTGGGCAATCTTTCACTACATGGCCTGTCCTTCCATATCGGAAACAAGCACCGGATGCTCGGTAGCATACACCCCTCTGCCTGACAATCAGGACAAACCGAAATAGATGCACTACTCTGACTCGAGCTGCTTGTAGACCCCGTATTCTGCTTCTTACTTACCTGAAAACGGCATTTTCTGAAACCATACCCAGACCTTTTTCCTCTCCAATCAGTTGTTGTTGTTGTTGGGGCCTTATTTTGTCTCATGGCGGCTAGTGTGGCTTCTGTCATTAAGGATCTATCAAGAACTTGCACATACGTTGGCAACTTTAGTACACCAACTTGATCAAATATGTCTAAGTCCAATCCTTTATCAAATTTGCGGGCTTTCTTGTAGTCTGTGTCCACCACATGAGGAGCAAATCTGGCTAATTCAGTGAACTTTGCCTCGTACTCGGCTACAGACATTCTGCCTTGCTTGAGCTCTTGGAATTCAAACATTTTTCGGTTCCGAAAACATTGAGGAAAATACTTTTCATAAAAGATCTCATTAAATCGAGCCCACATCATATTTCCATTGGTATTCCGAATCAGTAACCACCATCTCCGAGCTTCGTCTTTAAGAGTATAGGTGGCCAATAAAACCTTCTGAGTCTCGGTACAGGGAAATACCTCAAACAGTTTTTCCATCTCAAACAACCATGTCTCTGCTTTCAATGATTCAATTCCACCAAAGAATGTTGGCGGTTTGATCTTCATGAATTTGTATGTCAGGTTGATAACATCATTATTATCTGTTTTGGCTTGTACCGACAGAGGCGGAGGGAGCAAAGGTTGTTGTCTTTGTTGTTGCATCATAGCTTCAGTCAATGCCACAAGCATCTGTTCCATTCGGCTTATGCAAGCCTCTGAAGATTCACTTATATGATTTCCCCTTGCATTCTCCATGTTGCTATAGAGACACCAAATAATAATAAACATAGGAATAATTTCATTCATTTCTTTTAATTCATTTACTCAGATTTGCATTCAGTTTTTCTTATCCATTTGGATTACCACACACTCACACATGCAGATGGAATGCCCCTACTTCTTACTAGGACATCCTAAGCTCATATGGACCTGTGTGTGCGGGACAACACGTGCTCTGATACCACTCCGTCACTACCCAAACCCGCCCCTATGGGTCTATGGGTTTAGCATCGTAACCGGCCAGTAATCCTTGGATTACCAAAGGCCTCTTAACAGAATATCATATAGTTAGGGGCTACGAAAGCAAATATACGAAATATACGTGGTCCAATGAGCTGTGATGACGTACATGGGACATAATTTAAAATTTTATACTCGTATATGTGACGTTGTAAAAGCATCAGTCTTACATCACTTGAGCCATTTATACAAAACTTTTAAACACATGTTCAGTCCAGACATAAACATTTAGGAGGTACAAAAGTTCCAAAACACAAAAGCTTAGGCAGATCTCAAAAAGAAACCTCCACGAGAGGCACGATAGCTGGCTGACACCAAAACTCCAGGCGGCAGTTTAGGCCTGGTCACACTCCTGCTCGCTTACATACATAATACAACTAGTGAGCGAAAGTCCAGTGAATAATAACGGAGTAAAGGGTTTTAATTAATGATGTCCATACAAATTCAGAAACCATAATTTAGATTCGTAACAGATTCATTTCTATATTTTTGTTCCGATCATATACAGAAATCAGAGTTCATGCTTAATCATACATGGTACATCCATTAGCGCTAACAGAATAGATGCAGAACATATGGTGGTTATGAATAACCAGTTCTTTACCGGAACCTCCGGATCCGGGTAACAGAAAATAAACATGTTGAGCCCCATGACGGAGCCTCTAGTACGGGTAACAGAGTGCATACATATTAAGTTCCATAATGGAACTTCTGCTACCGGGTAACAGCTAACATATATCACATGATGCTAAGGATGCCACGAATACATTGTCAGAAATTGGACAATCATTCATTGTACAGAACATAACATTTCAGAAAACATATCTTATTTTATCACACAGAAAATAAATAAAGTTGAACATAGCTTTACTAAGTTATTACTCACAATTGGCTTCGGGTGCAGACAGATAGAACAGGCTAATCAAACGGTCTACGGCATGTGGCCTACATTAACACATAACAAATACACCTTTGAAACACACATTGGAATGCATCTAACCCATTACGTTCTTGTTCTTAGTGTGTCTCTACCCTTATTCTTATTATGGTGCCTTGACCATGGCCTAGGAATGCCTAGGATGAAATGAGGATACAAAAATTAAACTCAAAATCATTTTTCAAAACTTGCTGAAGACAGGGTCCACGCTCGAGTGGACATGCAAAAAGTGAGGATTCACTCGAGCGTGACTTCCTTAGCTCGAGCGGACAGTAAACTCTTGAAAAAGTTCTGGTTGCTTATTTTTCACGCTCGACGGACGCTCAATCTCCGCTCGAGCGTGAGACTCAGGCCCTCACTCGAGCGTGACTTCTCTTGCTCAAGCGTACTACAAAACATATGAACTTCTGGATACATGCATTTTACGCTCAAGCGGGTAGCATGTCGTTCGAGTGGAAGTGTACGCATTCAGAGTGCTTCGCTCGAGCATGAACTCCTACACTCGAGCGTAGGTTCAAATTTTGAAATTTCTAGATTTGATCTCCAAGATTCAAACTTAACCCAAACACTTCAAAACTCATCCTCTTGGGTCAAAATTCTGGAAAACATTTAGATATTCACAAAACATCATGATTTAAAGATCCTTTCATGAAATCAAGGCACAAAAGCATGCCAATTGTTCACAAACTCAACTTAAACTTCATGAACTCTCCAAAAACATGACATGCATGAAATGATTGAGCTTCAAGTTTCCAAATCATGATCAAATGAAATGAGAGGATGGAAAACATGATGAACTCTTACAACTAAGCTCAATTTATGACATGCACGAGAGAATTCCTAGTAAACATGCTCCAAATGTAATGAAATGTACATGCATGTATGAATTGGTCTTCCTTCCTACTTTTTAAGCTTGGTTCTTACATCTCCTAGCTTAATTCACTTAAATTCAAGGGTGAATTAACTCCACTTCAAGGTGGTAAGGTTGAGCTCTTACCTAGGCTACTCAATTAAGCTCCACTTAAGCAAAATCTTGAGCAATTCACTAAATCTCCTAGCATTTCTGCCCTTTGCTTCTTGAGGTAAACTCTCACTCTCTAATTCTCTCTTCCTCTCACGTTTGGAGCTTTAAGTTGGGAAATAAGAGTGTCAAAAACATATATAAGAGAAATAGAGGTGGTCTTATATAAGCCCACTTAGTGGCATTTAATTAATTGGCCTAAGCTAAGCTCAGTAGCTTTAATTATTCTAATTTAATCGTTCCGAATCGAATTTTAATTAAGCCTACCATAAAATTCTATAAATTCCACATAACACATATACCAAATCAATTTCGTGATCGGATGCTTTCGATTCACAAAAGGTAACAGAAATTTCAAACAAATACTCCTGCAATGAACAGATAAAACATAAATAATGTACTACATATGCAATTAATTCAAAATTCGATCTTAATAACTTATTAGGCATATTAAATCATGGATTATCGTTAATCTTTGAGTCGAGGTTGTTACAACCGCTGCCTCAGATGCCTGTACACCTTGATCATCTTTGGTTTCTCTGCATGTGCGACTCAGACGCTGCGGATCGTTGTAGATCTGAAATATTCTCTCTCTTACTCTCCCGATATACTCCACTGCCCGACAGAGATGCCGCCGCCGATCTGAGGGGCTTTCAATTTGCTGGATTTGTAGCAAATCTGAGATTTGGGGCTTCGGGCCGCGGTTCATTGTAGATCTGTTCATATTTTTTTGGTTTGTAGAAGAACGCAAAGGATGTGTATATATGTATGAGTTATTGTTGTTAATGATGAAACAGATTAAAAAATAAAATTGGCAAATAGATCAAATCTATTCAAAATTTGAACAGATATGTTCAAAAGTTGAATAACTAATAAAAATTTTAAAAAATAAAACATATTTGTTTTAAATCGATTTCTCTTGTGAAAATAACATAGATCACACAAAAATCTCTATTGATTTGGACAGATCACATAGATCTCTTTTGAAAATCCAAAGTTGAACAAATATATGTGAATTTTATATATAAAAAAAAGACATGTAACAAATAAGAAAAATAATTTTGCAGTTGATTATGAATGTTTAGGTTTTGGTTAGAGTTGGTGGATGGTTTAACTTTTTATTCCATAAATTGATCTCTTTTAGCACTGAACTGATTGAGGAACCAAAGCACTCTTGAGTCTTTTTTCAAATAGTGAGTTTGAACAATTCTATAGAATAGTTGATTTTTAACTGATAAAATAATAGATTTACTCAAAAAATTGAACAGATAAGTCAAATAATTCAACACGAAAAAAATATGGAATTAAAATTTGAACAAATAGCTAAAAAAATTTAATAGATAGATATAAATTTGAACGAATAGTCAAATTAAACGAACAAAAAAATTGAACAAATATATATATATATATATAATTGATCAGATAGAAAAAAAATTGAACAGATAGTCAAAAAAATTGAACAGATAGTGAAAAAAATTGAATAGATAGTGAAAAAAATTGAACAGATAGTCAACAAAAAACTTCAGAGTAAAATTGAAAATAATTTTTTTTTTAAATAAATAAAACAATTTCTAACAAAACTATTTCACAAAGAATGGACCTCTCACCAATAAAAAAATATTCACAAGGCTTAATGCCTTATAAACTTCTTATCTTGGACTTTTCAACAATTGTCTCGTTTATATATAATTATGACAAGCAACCACAACTACGACGACCACCATCACACCACCGCTACAATTATTAACACTATACCACTGCTATCACCACTACCATCATCATTGTTATTGTTCCAATAAGTATCAACATTGTTTCACTACAATACAATCGCCACCACCACTAACACCACCTTTCTACCACGACTACAACAACTATGACAACCCTTCTTCTCCATAATCATTGCCATTGCTACCATCAATCTACCACCATAATCACCACCATTGTTGCCACCCTCTTTTGATCCTCACTACATTACTCTTCTACTATCACTACAACCATTGTCTTTCCACTTCCACTACCATTGTCATTGGCGTTATAGCTACCGCCGCCGCCACCACTACCATTGGCATTGGCGTCATAGCTACTGCCGCCCCCGTTACCACCACCATCACTATCTCACCATTATAATTTAAAAATTAAAAGATACAATTTGAAAATAATAAATTTCAAATTCGATCTTGTATATATCAAACAACTTGTTATAGTTTCAACACTTAAAATTTGTATCAAATAACTTTTGAGCTTAAAAGATTCAACATTCAATTTTAGTACTTAATTTTCAATTTTATCAAACATCACCTACGTCTCATTATGCAATTAGAACTAAACTACAATCAAACCCATAGAACTTGATTATACAAGTGATTAATAGAGAATTCAGGAAAATCATTTATAATATCGAATTTTCTTTGTTTTGGTAAATGAAGTACAATTCACACTGCTTCAGCTTCGCTGTGTAGCTTTCGCTTTCTTCTTGAATCTTTCTCATCATTCTCCCTCTCTCAAACCCTAAACCCTAATCCTCTTTCTTTTACTGCTCACATTCTCTGATTTTTCCTTTCGATCTCCGTAGTCGCTGTGCGGACCAGTTTCTGCAATAGAGTAAGATGGAACTTCGTGGATGAACCCTGGTGCACCGATGGGTGAAGGCCTGCACAAGGAACAAATAGTTAGGCTGCCCGACCGAGGGTTGGTCGGAAACCCCTTTGACGATCGAGTCAG